TGGGGGACAACTGGACACATGTGAATGCGAACTGACCATTAGATAACATTAGGGATTTACAGTTAATTTTGTTAGAATAATGGTACATATGGTTAATAAGAAAAATGCTTCTTTATTGTTACTGTTGTTAAAGAGGTATACTTAAGTTTCTAAAAGTCAGACATTTATAATTTACGTTAAAATACCTACGGGGGAAAATGATGGGTATATTATAGGTACATGAGTATTTGTTTACTACTCTATCCTTCTTTATGTTTGAAGAATCTCAAAATCAAAAAAATTTAAAAAGAGAGAGAATATTCTAGCTTGGGGGTCAAGAGTAATTATGGAATTAGGAAGTGAAAAGAGAAAACAGCGCAAGAAGAATTATGACTGTTTTAGGCTATATTTAGTACAAAAACTAATATGTAATTTGCCTGCTTGCTTTAGTGTGAGATAATCTATAATAGTAAATATATTAGCACCCTAACTGGTTTACTGTGCTTTCATACGTAAGAGGGAAAAAGAAGTACAAGTCAAGGGGAAAACGCCAAGTCTCTGAGTCTTTTGGTGAGGCAGAAGTAGATGATCTTATGTGAACAAAGTCATTGGAGCAGTTTTCAACTTCTTATAACCAACTATAAGTCAGAGAAAAATTTGAGGTCAAATATTTTTAAACATATTTCTTCTTTAGTTACCTGTTTGGGTTGCCTTTCTAAGACTTCAGCTTTTAACCAGGTTTCAACTTCTTCAATTTTCTTTTTATGTACAGCAAGTTCATGCTAAAATTTTCAAGTTTAAAATACAACATATTAACTCAAAAATTTTTGAAGTATCAGCACAGATTAATATAAAGACTTTTAGTGAAAAAATTAGCAAACAAATAAATGATACAGTAGTAAAAACGTCCTTTTGATTATACTTAATTCTTTATATTGGTACAGAAAAATTCTGTTCTTAAGCTGACACCAGTGTATGAAAATCTGAGGCACGTCTGTAATCATAAAATTTTCTATAATCCTGAAATACATTTTGGGAAAGAAATAAATAGGGTGGGGTACTGCATTTAGTGAAAATTAAAAGGATCAAGTCTTTGTTAGGGTTAAATTAAATCAAAGACAAATAACTAGTGGTATGACTTCAGAATAATCTAAGGCTTGGAACATAAAAAACTTTAAAATTATTATTTTTTTCTAATTCATTTAGACAGATTTTTATGAATAATAAATGACAAGGCACATCCCTCTCCTTTCTGAAATTAAATTACAGAGACTTGTTTTATGCTATTTGTTACCTGTGTTTCTGGTTTATATTTATCCACCCATGGTTCATCATCTGACAGATATTCTTTTGAATTTTCTAGACCATAAGTCTGTTTTGAGGAAGATAGGTTTCCTCTTTTTCTAGCTGGAAATTTGCTACTTTCTAATGCGGAAGGCGCCTTTTTTCTTCTACTACTTGAGTTATTCACACCTAATGATGTGGCAGTAATAGTAGAGATGCCTCTAGTCTCTGAAAAATCATCAAATGATGGGTCTACCCAGTCTGTTACCTGAAAAAAAGAAACCATGTAAACACTGTCACTTTTTTTTGCATCTATTCCCTATATAACTAAACTACCCTGTTAAAAAAAAAATCATAGATTTGCAACATTTAAAATAAAAATCTCACAAATTATCTCTTTAAAACTGACTCTATATGTATTGTTTTTCCACTTTACAATAGGTATAAATGCATACTTATCTACTTGACTATAGTAATGATGAATGCCATATAAATACACATCGAATATAAACTTAATTCTTTATTAATTATAATCTTCCCAGGAAAAAGATTCAGCTGATTCTTTTAAAACTCATTTGTAGCACTGAAACATAAATATTAAAATTACCTACCAGAAAAGTCAAACAATAAAGAAAAAAAGGTATTATTTTAATCACACAGAAACATAAGAAAAGTAACACTTCTGCCTTGATGAAGTTAATGCATTCACCAACTAAGAACAACTTTATACATTCAAATAATCCCTACCAGCTTTAAGATTTGTGAAGGTCTAAGAATCCTGATGCTATGAATAATTTGTAATTATGATTTTATTACACTTTTCTTCAGCTCTTGAAACAACTAATATATTTATGAAAGGGAGGCAGGCTTTCTAGTGAGGGTAATTTGTCAGGTTTGTTTAGAAAAAAAGAGTACTAGGTCAATAAAGCAGGAAAATCAGTGAGTTCTATGTCATGGTCTTCTGCTCTATAGAAATGACTGACCCCTCTATGTTTCTCTCCATCATTTCCTTTTCTTTAAAATTCTTTCTAAGTATATATACAAAAAGAAAGATGCTAAATTAAGCAAATTTAACCTAAAAACATTTAGGAGTGCTACAAAGTTTTATTTAATAATTAGAAGTGGATTTTCTTGACATTCCAATAGAATAAATCCAGAAAAATCCAGCTTAGTATCTGACTTTAGGAATTCCCTGCCTGGTTAATAAGGGGAACCAAGATTATATTTCCCTTGAAGAATACTCAGCCACACTTGTGAACCATTTATTAGACAACAGTCCTTTTTAGGAGAAAAAGAACCAGAAGTTGGAGGTGAAAGAAGGCTCAGAAGAAGCAAGTGAGGGATTATACAAATTTTATAAACGCAAAATCACATTTCACATCTCTTTTAAAGACAAAAGGTTAGGATTATTATCAGCAGTGGGTAAAGAAATGAAGACCTTTGGGGAAAAATTTCAGACACAGCTACCCAGTTCATTTCCTCCTCTTTAAAAGACTGTCACCAGTACTACACTCTGGTCCCTTTCTTCTATTTTTAAGAGTACAGAAAAATAGTAGTAGTAGTAGTAGTAAAACTCTTGATAGCAATTCTGATCTAACAATTTCAATCTGCATTTTAGTTACACGTTTTATAGTTTTATTTCTTACATAAATTTACTTACAGAGAGAGAGAGACAAAGAGAAATAGCAAAGTTAAATAACTTACTTAAGATCAGGGAACAAGTAGATCCACCAGTAGGAAAGCAGCTAACTTTCATCAGTGTGATACTGTCTGACACCTATCCTACCCACCCACTAGCCTTGTTGAGAACTGGCACACCAAACCACTTAATTTCTAAGAGACAGAGCCTGTTTGTTAAGCTATAACACCAATTACAATGCATGTATTTCTTTTTCTTCTACTGCTTTTTCATTCAAGAGTTTTCAGCTTTTTCTTTATGACTGCGATCATAAAAAAGAAACACTTTTTTTTTCAAAATTTAGGTTGTGTTTTCAGTGTACAGTTGTTTCACAATTGATTATTAGACTTTTTAGATCACTGATTACAACAGATACTGGACACGATTACTTTGATAGCAGCAATAAGTCTTAGGAACACAAACAAAAACTAATATTCTTTCTGGGCAATCATCACAAGGTCATTTTAGTGTTTCATACCTTTGTGGAAGATACCTTTGGTCTAAGAAAAGTTTTTGACATTATAAACTTTAATAGTTTCCATCCGTAGTATACAACCTGTAGTACACTGAAGTATAGTTCACCTAGGGGAAAAAAGAAAAAAAATCCCTCAAATTATGAAAAACTGTAAAACAGAAGTATAGTAACTAATATATACTGACAAAATCAACAACATAATAGAGGTTCAAGAACTAATGAAAGAGAACATACTAAAAATAGCTGAAGCAAGAAATCAAAATGCTAAATTGAATTTTACTTTTAACGACTATAGCTGTGTCAAACAGTCTGTGTTAAATAAAGTTTTTCATATAAACTCAACAATGTAGTAGAGAAAACAGAAAAACCACATATTTGTGTACCTACCTTTTGTCATTAAGAAAAATTAGACAACACTATTTGTGCAGTTTTTACACTGAAAATTAAAATTTCCTTCACTTCAAAATTTTTTCCAAAATTACAAACATTCAAAAATTTTTTTAAAAAAGCACTATATTGAATTCATACTTAGCACTTATTTTGGGCAAAGACTTTATATTTTTAAGTGTTTGTCTTTATTTGAACGTGTTATTATGAATTTTTTTGGCAAGACTGTGTCTTCCGACTTTCATAATTCTTCAGTGTTTATACAAGCTAGTGAACTCACCAATTTTAAGTTTACAAAATGCAAGGTGTTTACAATCTACAAACCTGTAAACTGTGCATTTTTTAATCGTTTAGAAACACATAATTTATAACGTGTAAATACTTCCACACACTAGAAAACAAACCGTACACACACACAGAAATTGTTCATGACTAGAGAGGTTTTTCTTCGCAGTTTGAAAGAGGTACACAGGTGGGGGGAAAAACCACGTATTTCAGTTAATTTAGTTGGCAGGTCGAAATAAAAGATGCAGACTTGTCACGGTCAGAATTTTAGTCGCTCTTTGAAAACAAGACTGACCGTTACCTCCTTTTAAAGAGCAGGCAACTGTCCGTGATGATACCAGGTTCCTGAAATGAGACGTCAGAGATAGAGAAGACTTCACAAAATACTTCCAGCAGACCCACCACCACCCTACACGCTGCACAGGGAATACTAAGCTCACATATTCGTCCAACATAATGCTGTTAGTCAGAGAGCGAAGACGAGCTCGCATACCCTGGCTCCAGGCCAGAACTCTGCACCTCCACCCCTCTCACCCCCAGATGGGATGGGCAGGTCAGGAGGAGGAGCGATGAGAGCCGAGAAAGGCGTGAAGGCACAGATGGACTCACGTCTCTAGGACAGACATATACCACAGCCGCAACTGCGGCAGCCTTACTTTCCGGGAGCTGCATCCCCTTGTGGGTGGAAAGGAACGGGGGAACCCAGTCTCTGCTCCAGGCGGAAGGGTAGCCACCCGGCCCTACCCAGGCTCAGCGGCGAGCCGTCTTGGAGGGCCCACCTCCCGGGGTCCTACCAGACCGGTCGGCGCTTCCGCGACACAGACGGAAAGGCGGGGCCGCCAAATCAGCGACTGTCTTAGGCATCCAGCGCACTGCCTGACTCGAAGCTCCGAGCCGACCTGTGCCCGTAATTCGGACCCTGCGATGGAAGCGTGTCATAGAAGGCCAGGTAACCAATGGTCGGCGACGAGGCGGCAGAGGTGGTTCGCTACCGCCACAGGAGACCTCCAGTACTCCGGCGCCACTGGCGCTTACCGCCTCCCGCCCCTTCCGGCCCCTCCCTGTTGCGTGTAGGGCGCGTGTGCAGAGGCGTCCCGAGCCGGCGCGGTGAGGACCATGTTGCTTCCGAACATCTTGCTCACGGGTCAGGGCGCGCGCCGGGGGTGGTGCTGGACGGCGGGGCTAGCCAGGGACGCCGAGTGCTCCGGGCCCTCGGACTCCCGAAGGGGGTGCCACTCAGTGTTCTGTTTCGAGACTCGGCGAGGGCCGCGTGGCGTGGCAGTTGTCACGGCCTCGAGACCCGGCCCTCGCGACGGTTGCGGGAGACGGGGGGAGGGGACGGCGAACGTTAATTCTATTGGTGGAGGTTGGCTACTCGGTGAGGTGCAGAGAGGTAGATATATCCAGTTCCTTTTTTTCGGCAAGCTGCCTAATCTTTATTAATCAGGCTTTTGTTTGTAAAATGGCTGTTGTTTCTTTACCTGCAGGGTTCTCTTTAGGTTTTTAGCGAAATAACGTAAGGCAGTATCCGGCCCTTAATAGATCTGTTAATGGTGGATGCCTTTGGCCTCCTGGGCTGTCTCTTTTTTCTTCTGTATCTGAGAGTCAGATTTTTATGAAAGGATTCTAATGTCTGGAGTGATCAGTTTGCTGCATACGGCTTGTGGAGAGGCTTTCTCTCTTTTTTTTTTTATATTAAGAAGGAAAAGCATCTACTGAGCAGCTCTGGTCGTGTTTCTCTTGTAGAGATGCTGAAAAGTTCCCTAGCTAATTGTGGGGGTTCTGGGTATTTGGATCCATACTCAGGGCGCCTGTGATAGTAAAATGCCGCATAACGCCTTTAAAGGAAAATATTTATGGTCGTTTTTAACTCTGAAAATGTCTGTTAAGTTTTAGCAGTTAATAGCATTGTAAGTCATTCATGAAAGAATCTAATGGGTGTGGATGCTACTGCAGCATCTAAAAATTGAGGCGCTCTTTGTGGAAACAGCAGTCAAGTTTTATCCTTTAGCAGAACATAAGCTTATTGGCGACGCATAAGTCCTATCTATTTCTGAGAGCTGCAGATTAACCTCAAATTAATGCTTAGCCTTTAAGATTTCTTGAGGGGACCATTTTACAACGTCTCATTTGTTTGGATCAGACTGTGTTTGTTTTTTAATATTAAACAATATCAAAAATCTAAATGTGAGGATTTTATTGAGAACATGGTGCGTTCAGGGTTCAAACTTGATGTATTATTATGGACTGGAGGTAAATGTTATCTTTATGAAGACTTGATTTATTCCCGTTATCTCTGATTATAATGATCAAGTTTCATAATTTTAGTGGCATTAAACCCGAACAGCAGAAAATTGTGGGTTTAATTATCTTGAAACATATAGCTATAAAAAAGGGAAGGTGAAGGTACAATATTGCCATTTATGTAAAAGGAAATCTGTAGTGTGTGTATGTATATATACATGCAGTGTATGTATATGTACACATGTAGTATGCTACCGTATGTATACATATACGTTGATGTATACACAAATGCATATGTATACGACTTATTTGGAGACATGTTTAAGAAACTGGCTTACACTGATTGCCCCAGGGAAGAGTGTAGTGGGTCAGTAGAAATGAGATTTTGTCTTTCATACTGCCAAACTTTTCCCATGAACAATTTAATTTTTTTTTTCAGTTAAAGCAAATAAATGATAGTAATTTATTTGCAATGGCTAGTTTTATTCTGGGAATTTCTATGGTGGTAGCAGACAATCTGTGATTGACAGAATCTCCTAAGACCCACTCCTAGTAGAATCAGATACACTGGCTAAGATCCTGATATCCAACAGGCTTTGGGTAGTTTTTATTAGGTTATGGTGTGTATTAATTCATAGAGGATTGCTGAATAGGAAACTTCATTTCAGTTATTTAGAACCTTAAGAAGGGCAGATCAGTAGCTAAAGTCTAATAAGTATTTCTTGAACAGTATATTTCTGTGGCTTGTCTTACAGGTACACCAGGGGTTGGAAAAACCACGCTAGGCAAAGAACTTGCATCAAGATCAGGACTGAAATACATTAATGTGGGTGATTTAGCTCGCGAAGGTAAGGGACACTTTGGTGTTAGATTTATGTTATTTTATTTATTTATTTTTTTAAGTGAGAGAAATGATGGAGTATTAGGACTATATTTGTGAGGGTACAAAAAGGAGAGAAGGATTGCCATTAAGGAATTTGTGCTCTGATGAGGACCCATAGAAATAGAACATATTGTCTAATGTTGTGTCTTGGTTGTTTTGACCATTACATCCCCTCTGCCATTGGTTAGCAGGTCTTGTGGACAGTTATAATTGGGACAGCTTCTGTGAAGATTGACCTTATGGTAGATAGAATCGAACATGAGGAAGAGGGAGAGTATTTTGATTTGGGCAAACACATAAAGGTTGGGGTGGTGCTGAGCATATCTGTGGAGACAGTATATTGAGCTCCCTATAAGGACACTATTTTGAACTCTGACAGTAGCACATGGAATTTTCTGTCCTTTGGTATTTTCTTAGATTAATTTCATAGGTGCATGCCTGCAAGCAGCTACACACATTCTAAAGTGATACATGTTTACTTATTTGACCCTCTTTTTCCCCAATCTTTTATCACCCCCTTATTTGTGTCTTCATCTTTTTATATACCATAATGGATAGAAACTCAATAAATTTAAAGAGAACTTTAAATGTGCCTCATTAAAATTAAAAAGATTTAATATATTTTAAAAACTTATATTTTTAAAAATTTAACATGTATTTAAACATTTTAAAGTTCCTGACAGTTGCTACCAAAGTAACTATTTCAGGTTTGATCTAATGTACATATTTTTTTCAAATGATCTAAAGTCTGATCACCGGATATCATGGAGTCTGGCAAGATGGCTTCTCCCAAGAGCATGCCGAAAGATGCACAGATGATGGCACAAATCCTGAAGGATATGGGGATTACAGAATATGAGCCAAGAGTTATAAATCAGATGTTGGAGTTTGCCTTCCGATATGTCACCACAATTCTAGATGATGCAAAAATTTATTCAAGTCATGCTAAGAAAGCTACTGTTGATGCAGATGATGTGCGATTGGCAATCCAGTGTCGTGCTGACCAGTCTTTTACCTCTCCTCCCCCAAGAGATTTTTTATTAGATATTGCAAGGCAAAGAAATCAAACCCCTCTGCCATTGATCAAGCCATATTCAGGCCCTAGATTGCCACCTGATAGATATTGTTTGACTGCTCCAAATTACAGACTTAAGTCTTTACAAAAAAAGGCATCTACTTCTGCGGGAAGAATAACGGTTCCACGGTTAAGTGTTGGTTCAGTTACTAGCAGACCAAGTACTCCCACACTTGGCACACCAACCCCACAAACCATGTCTGTTTCAACGAAAGTAGGGACTCCAGTGTCCCTAACAGGGCAAAGGTTTACAGTACAGATGCCCACTTCACAGTCCCCAGCTGTAAAAGCATCAATTCCTGCAACATCAACAGTTCAGAATGTTCTAATTAATCCATCATTAATTGGGTCAAAAAACATTCTTATTACCACTAACATGGTGTCATCACAAAATACTGCCAGTGAATCATCAAGTGCATTGAAAAGAAAACGTGAAGATGATGATGATGACGATGACGATGATGACGATGACTATGATAATTTGTAACCTAGCCTTGATGCATGTAACATGTATACTTGGTTTTGAATCCATTGTACTGAGATTAAACATGCATGCTGGATGTTTCCAAGTTGTTTTAGAAAAATAGTATTTAATGAGTAAATATGGCTATCATTTTTCAATTGAGATGTTGTATTGGACTTTCTTTAGTAGGACTAGTAATGGTTTTTTGTCAGCCTTTAAGTGTAAAAAATAAAGTTGTAATTCATCAGTTTGATTGTTGGTACTTTGGCAATTATGTTTTTAGAAGCAGTTTTCTGCCTCATTATGACCAACAGTTAACAAAAACTTGAAGTTGTTACAGTCTATTCATTACCCACTAGAGTGTCATTTCTAGTGTCTTCAGATCATAGTATGATTCCTGCTGTATAAGTCACTCTTAAGGGCCATGCTTTCAGATTGCTGAAGTGTAACTATGCCTGCTTTTTGGAGGGATCACTTGGTCATGATTTTTATTCATAGTGGGTCCTTATCTGTTTAGATTTATCTTCCTCAATTGCCAGACTTCTTCTTAGGTCCCATTTTTCTATCCCTTTGGTTATATTTAAGGACCCTTGGTGTATTTCCCAGTGTCAAAAATTCAAAAAAATTTTTTTTCCAGTATCCCTTTTGCAGGTCGATTTTGTGCCTCTTTGCTTGTCAGTCTTAATACTATATGCCAGTATCATGCTTACACTTTTAATCCAGGTTTAGCATTTAAGTTATTGTTAATAAAACTTACAACTGTGCATAGCTTGTCATTCTCCATTTTATACCTACGTGAAATCTGCTTTTGTTCCTTTGCCTGTTGAATTTTACTGTTTTTGACAGGTGATTTCACAGTCACGTTGTAGTCAATTTCAGCCATGTCTTCCAGTTCTAATTTTACCCACTCAATGTAACACTTCTAAGCTTAATGAAGCTGCTGTAAAATCTATCATGGATAGCATTGAGAGCAACAGTAACACCAAAGTATAATCCACTGTGAGACACTTGTCTTCTTCACTGAGTCTTCTGTTTGTTCTCAAACTGTTTTAGTCAGTTGTGTGCCCACCTAATGGTGCATAGTCTTGACCATTCTCTTTGTATTTTATTGGTGAGATTATTTCATGAGATGGAATCTACCTTAAAGGAAAAGTGCGAGTTTTTTCCCCTCCTGTTTTGCCAGAAAAGGATTTCTGGTCTGATTTGACAAGTGTTAGATGAGGTACTTTATTGAAAAACCTAATGTACCAGGTTTTTTTTCCCAGGTGCCATTTGAATATATCTGAAAACCTTACTAGGAAATAGTCTGAGACATTCAGCTTCCTCATTTTTTTTCCAAATGGTGATACATTTTAAGGGAAACCATGCAATTATCTGTAAAGCAGTGGTTCTCAACTCGGGGTGATTTTACCCCTCAGGGGACATTTGGCAACTTCTGAGACATTTTTGGTAATCACAACTGGGGTGAGGAGTGTTGCTACTGACCTCTAATGGTACAGGCCAGGGATTCTGCTGAACATTCTCCAATTCACAGGACAACCCTCCATCTCCATAACAGAATTATCAAGCTCAAAATGTCAGTAGTAATTCAGGTTGAGAAACCCTGCTTTAAGAAATGAGGCTTAAAAAAAACAAAAACTGGTTCTAAACAGATGTGTCTAAATGGAGTTTATTGCCATCCTAGTCATATTAAATTGTATTTTTCGTAAGAGACCATCCTTATGCCATTTAAAACCAAAGCAGAAAAAATTAGGTGGGGAATTAAGCTTAGTAAAACTTTGAAGCGTCCTCAGTGTGCAGTAAGAATGCTTTTATCACTGTTCTTCCAGTCTCACGTTCCTCAGTTGATGTCCTTTCCCGTATCCAGTCATTTAATTACACATTTACCAGCATCCTTAATTTTCCTGCCACAAGCTTATCAGTCTTTAGCCTTTGTCCCTAAACCCAGGATACTCATAGGTCTAGACAAAAGTAGTATGATTATATTGACATTGGATACATTTCAAATACCTGGCCTTCAATACTTAAAATCTTGGTGTGTTTCTAACCCAGGGGTTGGCAAGCTGCTGCTGTTTTTGTAGTACACTAAAGACTAGACTGCAAATCCTTAAGTATTTACTGTGTGGCCTTTTACAGGAAAAGTTTGCCATCCCTGCTCTAACCTCTGTGTATCCCATTTTTTTCCTTCACCTTAATCAGCTACCACGGAAAGCCTTTGAAACTAACTTCTCCATTGGCCTCTCCAACACTGCTGTCCCAATCTGCATCTGATTCTTTTCCTTCCCACCGTATACCTCATTCCCCTGTGATTTCACTACAGCCATTTTGTAATCCTGCCCCTCCCTCTAGTAATGTCATTCACTCAGGACTAGTTAGTAACTCCCTTTTGTTGATGACTCTTAAATTTATAATTAAAACTTAGCCCGGTTTCTAGATGCCTACTAGGCGTAACCATCTAGATAGTTCCCAAACATTTCCAAATTAATGTTTAAAAAGCACATGCTCTGAAGTCATTCCTGACCCTGCTTGGCTGCTCCTGATTCCTATTCCCCCCACACACAAACTAGTCACACACTGCACAGATGCACTTGGCTCCTAATCTTGATGGTTTGAAAAATCACTTTGATAGCCCTATCCCATTCCTAAGACCACCGGTGCTGTGTCCCTTTGGCACTGCTGTACCATTCTCAAGACCGTCCATGCTGAATCTTCTATTCTTCAGTACCTCTTCCCTCCCTCTTCAATACCCCATCATTATATCCTTTAAAAGAGGGAACAGAGAGGATGACATGAACTTTTTACTGATAAAGTCCATCCTCCTTAATGAAGTATAGGAGATTACGAACTGGCCACAGTTTACCTTCAGCCTGCTCTGCAGCCGCTATCTCCTAAGTCCCTTTCAGTCTACCCATAGTGCACTGTTGTTCTTCAGCAGTGGAAAAAGTGGGGCGTCTTGCATCTCCATGTCTTTATTTCCTTTGTCTATAGATGCCCTTCCTAACCTACCTTACAAACAGCACCTTAAAAGGCCCAACTTAAATTCCACATCTTTGGTACTCTAATAACTTCTCTAAGGAGAATTCATTGCTTTCTTTGCATAAAATGCCAGATATCAAAGCTCCCAATCCTTAAACCAATTAATTTCTTGTACTAATTGCATTATAATTAAAAGCCTCTTGTTGGGTTGAGGTAAATGTATTTCCAAAGGATGAAATCTGAAACTGTATTATTGGCAGCAGCATCAAAATAGATAACTAGCATCCCTCTATCATTAACTTTAAAGAACAGCTTTCATATGAGTATATAAATTCTAGGATGGCAGTAAAGAAAATGTCATGCTTTTACGGTTTGACTAACAAGTGGGAAAGTCTTTTAAGGTAAGAAGGTCTTTAAAGCCTTTTAACTGGCTTCACAATCGATTTTTTTTTCTGCAAGTAATTTTTAAGTAAATCATAAAACTTTGGGAAATTAATTTTCAAAATGTTTGGTAGTTTAATCAAATCAGACTTCCCCCCCCCAATCTTTGTCATATGAAGACCCTCTGTACAGACAATTATAAATTTGACTTCCAATTGAAACTTTCTAAAGTAGCAAACATTTTTACTCTTTTTGGAAATTTGAAATGAAGTTTAGAATCCATCTATTTCTCTGTTCCCTATAACGCAGATTGTAATTATCACTTACCTAAAATTCTGCAGTAGCCTTTATATGGTATCCGTGCTTCTGGATTTGCTTTCTTCCAACTGCACACAGAAACCGAAATGATTTTTAAAAATTTGAAATTGATCATGCCATTTCATGCTTAAAATGCAGTAATGATTTTCCTTTGCCTTGGGATTAAAGTCTAAACTCAGTGAAGCCTTCAAGGTCCTTTTTAATCTGGCCTCAATTCACCTGACCCCTTTATCACCTACTTTCTAACTATTCTGAAAGACTTTCCCTCCTTTGAAAGGCCTGCCCTCTCTAGTCTCTCTGCCTTTGAATATCTTGTTTTCTCTGTTAAGAGTCATCTTACCTTTTTTTCCCTAGCTAACTGCTTCAAGTCTTCACTTAGAAGTTACCTCCTCTAGGAAGCCTCCCCTAATATACCACCCAACTTTATGTTTCTAACCTAAATGGTGCCCATCCTATTGCTCCCGTAGTACCGTAACATTAAAATACTGTAATTTCCAAGTTACTTGTCTGTCATCACCCCATTTTATTGTAAAGTCTTCAAAATGGAAGGACTGAGTTTGTCTTCTTATTCAATTTGTTCACTAATATATCTTCATTACTCCTGTAATTACTGGTACATGGTGTTTGATAAATGCTTTTTGAAGTGAATGTTTGAAAGCTTGGATTACACTATTTTATTAAAATATATTAAAGTGATTTAAGAAATCCTGCATTTCAGCATTGTAGTATAAAGACTTTAATTCTTAAAGTTAATATTGCCATAGTTGTCTGTATTTTAGACAGCATATATTTTTAAAGATTTTACTAGTCTGGATTTAAAATATGAAGGAACATTGATCTATTCCAGATTCCCACATGGTACAGAATCAGCTGTTAGTATTAGATTTTGTGGCATTGTAAAAAATATATAGAGTATTGTAAAAATAGTACACAGAAAAATAAAACGACCTAATATTATTTACCTAAGTAAAAATACATTTCTAGAGTCAATTTACTAAATACGTATGTAATTAATAAAATAGGTATAAAAAGGCTCATTTTAATTTGCATGTCTAATCACTGAGAAAGTCCAACATTTTTTTCAGTTACTATTTACTAATTATCTTTTCTATTCTGTGTGAATCTTATTATTCTTTGTTAAGCTACTTACTGTTATTTTGATCTTTAAGATATTTCAGTCCATTGTCCTACTACAAATACTTCTCCCTGCTGTTTTTCTTTTTTAAAAAACTATATTTTTCATTGAACAGAGATTTAACATTTTATATGTTCAAATCAGTCATTTTATTTTTTCACAAACTCTAATGAATTATTCCTTTGTAGGTTAAATTTTCTATTTATCTTTGGAATTAAGAAATTTGCTCTTCATATAGAAAGCAAACTTATGGTTACCAAAGGGGGAGGGGGAGGGATAAATTAGGAGTTTGAGGTTAACAGATACACACTACTTTAATAAATAAACAAGGGTCTACTCTATGGCACAGAGAACTATATTCAATATCTTGTAATAACATAATGGAAAATATCTGAAATATATATATGTATAACTGACTCACTATGCTGTACACTTGAAACTAGCACAACATTGTAAATCACCTATAAATTAAAAAAAAATTAGTTCTTTAATCCACCTATTTGTGGTATAAAGTAAGGATTTAGATTATTTTCTAAATTGTTAACCAGTTTTCCCCACACCAATACAGTTTAACCTTTTAGCTGGTAAGTTTCTGGTAACTGAACAGCAACACAAGAAGGCAGAGGCCACACTAATGTGCTAGAGCAGTGGCTCACATGGCCAATATCTGTCCAGAGTTAAAACTGCCTCTGTGCCTTCCACTTAACTCTCAGGACTATTGTCACTTTAGAACTCATGCTCATTTTTTAACCTCATTTCAACCTGTGCCAAAATAGTAAGGGGAAGGGGACGTGGGAAGACTATAGCCATCTTCGAGATGGCTAAGAGGATGACCTAAGCCTGCCTTAGAGATTGTACCTCCTAGGGATTCAGAGTGAGGCTGAGATTGGTTAAGTCTCACCTTAAGACAAACTTCCTTGGAAAGGAAGCTTTAATTTGCTGGAAAGTTACATTTAAATCTGCCTTTTTTATATCTGTCCATCATTCTTCTACCTTCTGAAATAAGGTATTTAACCCTTGGCTTTTGGGGATGCTGGAAATCTAGACGTAAAGGAGCATCTGGGTACTGACTCCTTCCCCAAACCCCATGAAGATATGCCCTCAGTGACAAAGGGTTCATTTTTGGAATCAAGAACATGTTGTTGCTTTTAATAAGTTTCATATCTTTGGCCTCATAAATTTGGAACTTAACCTGCTGTTAACGTGTAGGGAGTATTTCCATCCATGTGTCCCCTTTTCCCACCAATCTGTGGCTCAACAAAAATAATGCAGTTCTCCTCTACTAATAGCTCCACAAATTCTGAAGTTGGCTATTATTCTGTCTTTTTAGTTGTTTTAGTTTTGATAGCTAAAATGGTTTCAGGTATATTGCTATCCAAGCTTCTAGACAAAATTCTAATTTATCAGTATAGCTCTTTATATTTGGTGTCTATGTGACATCTCTTGTGTTAATGCCCTCCCTTGTCTCTAAAAGAGTAACTGATGATATATTTCCTTTCCCAAAGTCTAGAATTAATTGAAAATTACTGAAAGTTACTTAGAAAATACTACTTTAACACACCAGTGTATATCTCTTTTAGGGCAGTTATATGATGGCTATGATGAAGAGTATGACTGTCCCATTTTAGATGAAGATAGAGTAAGTACAATTTTTTAAAATAAATATACATTAAAAAAAATTTAATAGGAAAGTTGACCTGTGTTCTTCCTTCTTTTCCTTTTTCACAGGTAGTTGATGAGTTAGAAAACCAAATGAGTGAAGGTGGAGTTATTGTTGATTACCATGGTTGTGATTTCTTCCCTGAACGCTGGTTTCATATAGTTTTTGTGCTGAAAACAGATAACAGTGTTTTGTACAAAAGGCTTGAAACAAGGTAAGAAAGGAAAAGCACTGAGTTCTTAAAGTATAATATAAATTTTTATTCAGATTCCTGAGGTTGGCCAGTACTACCATCATAAAGGGTTCTACTTGAAAATGTGACTATTTTGTCTTACTATAAAGCAAATCTGTATGGTATGAACTTTCTGAACCTAAGAGAAAAAGATGCATTTGTAAAACACAAGCAGTACTTTGAGTAAATGAATACCTCAACTGACAGTTTGATTCAGTAAAATGTACTATATAGCAATTCTGTTTAGTCATGCTTTTTCCTTTGTTGTTGTTTTTGTAGGGGGAGGTAATTAGGTTTGTTTTTTTATTTTTAGAGAAGGTACTGGGGATTGAACCCAGGACCTCACGTATGCTAAGCATGTGCTCTACCACTTAAGCTATACACTCCCACATGCTTTTTCCTTAATGTAAAACTTTGCTAGGAAAACAACCAAGCCAATAACATTCTTTGCTATGGAATGAACATTACCCACTCAAATTATCCTCACAACAGGAATGGGAAAACTTATGAAAAACTAACAAGGTAAATTAATATCTCACAATCTTTAAAATATATTTGAGTTTATTCCTCTAAGAAAGCATCACCAGAAAAACCAAAAAAGAAAAATTTTATGGAAGACATTTTCCCACTGTCTTCTGAGTCATACTGTGGGAAATTGTGTGATCAAGTACCCAACTACTGTACGATAATTCCTTTTATGCATTTTATTATATACAAGTATTGTTGCTTGATTTTTCATGTGTTCAAAAGTGCATAGTTACAAAAGTGTCCAGTTTCTGGTGTGTTCCTAAAACTCCAGCTAAGTAATCATCTCTTTGCCTTCTAGGGGTTATAATGAGAAGAAACTAAAAGACAATATTCAGTGTGAAATTTTTCAAATTCTTTATGAAGAAGCCTTAGCATCCTACAAGGAGGAAATAGTGCATCAGCTGCCCAGCAATAATCCAGAAGATCTTGAGGATAATATCGATCAGATATTGAAATGGATTGAGCAATGGGTCAAAGATCATAGCTCTTGACTTACAAGAATGGCCACCTTACAATCACTCTTGATATCTCTCTGCCCACATTATATAAATTGTTCAATTATCAGTAAAACTTCCTTATTGAAACTGTGTTGTTGGAGTAGTAGGTGGATAGTATAAAGGTTTATGTTTAGGGTTTTTTTCTCCATGAGAAAACTAATCTCAATTATCATGAATAATATTATTAAGGATTGAGAATTAAAACTGTCATTGTTTAGTGCTTCAATTGCTAAAGGATAAATAAATCTCACCAAATGGGTGGATATATTTTAAGTTTATTACAGAATAAAATGAAAGTGATTTCTTAAAATAAAACTTAAGACAAAACATCAGAGTTTTCCATGTTTATTTTTCTTTTAAAAAAAAAAGTGTAAATGGTAATACTTGCACTCTGTATAAAACCCAAAAGCCACAAAAGGTATATAGACAGTGTCCCGCTTATAATGGGTCAACTTAGGAATTTCTGACTTTACAATGATGCAAAAGCAATAGGCATTCAGTAGAAATCACACTTTGAGTTTTTATCTTTTCCCAGGCTAGTGGCATGCAGCACTGTGATGCTGGGCGGGGCAGAGGGCTGCAGCTCCAGTCAGCCACACGATCTTGAGGGTGAACAACTGAGCCGCTTACAACCATCCTGCACCCACACAGCCATTCTGTTTTTCACTTTCAGTACAGTACTCAATAAGTTACATGAGATATCCAATACTATTATAAAATAGGCTTTCTGTTAAGATGATTTTGCCTAACTGTAAGTTAATGTAAGTATTCTAAGCCTGTTTAATACAGGCTAAGCTAAGCTGTGATGTTTCATAGGTTTGGTGTATTAAATGCATTTTCAACTTAGGATATTTTCAACTTATGATGTGTTTATTGGGGTGTAACCCCTTCATAAATCAAGGAAGATCTGTACTGGAAAGGAAGTTTCCCTTCAGGCCACTGTGTTCTTCAGTCATGCTAGATTCTCTCCCTTTAGGAAATGATGTTACTGGTTCCTTGTGTATCTTTTCAGAGATTTTATGCCTGCAAAGCATGTGTGTGCTTGTGAACATTATTATTATTTTTTAAGCCTATGGTAGCACACTATGCAAAATGTTCTCTATTTTTTTCATTTAATGTATTTTGGATATTATACCATCTCAGAACATACAGACCTTACTGTTCTTTATTTAAGATATAATTTATATATATAAAGCACACCATTGTAAGGTGTACAACCCATTGGTTTTTATCATATTCACAAGATTGTGCAACTATCCAATTCTGTAACATTTTCATCACCCCACTCAAAAGCAGCTCCATACCTGTTACCAGTCACTTCCCATTCTTCCCTTCTCCAATCTCTTGCTATCACTTAGTCTACTTACTGTCTCTATGGATTTGCATATTCTAGACAATTCATATAAATGAAATCGTATGGGGTCTTTTCTATCTGGCTTCTTTCACTTAGCATAGTGTTTTCGAGATCATCCACGTTTTAGCCTTTAGCCTTAGGAGTACTTCGTTCTTTTACATGGTCGGATAATGTTCCACTGAATGGCTATCCCACATTTTGTTTATCCATTCCATCAGTGACACAGATGGGTTGCATCCACTTTGGGTATTATTAATTATGTTATGAACGTTTGTGTACAAGTTTTTGTGTAGCTGTGTCTTTTCAATTCTCTTGGAAACAGCTGAAAGGGAAATTGCTGGGTCATACTGCAATTGAATTTAACATTTTGAGGAAATGCCAAATTTTTCCAAAGTGACTGCTTTACTTTACATTCTCACCATACATGTATAAGGGATCTACTTTCTCCACATCCTTGCCAGCACTTGCTACTGCCATCCTTTAGATGTACAGTCATATTTCATTTTGGTTTTGATTTATATTTTCCTAATGTCTAATGATGTTGAGTATCTCTCCATGTGCCTGTTAGTCATTTGTATACCTTCTTTGGATCACTAATTCTTGTATGTTTGCACAGAGCTCCATTAAGGTTGTGGCTTAATGAGTCCCCTATTGATAGACATTTACATTGTTTCCAGCTTTTTACTGAACAATGATACAAGAATGGTAAGAAAGAATAACACATAAAATGAACTCTCTTAATTCACATGACTACTATCTGAGGTATAGGTATTATTTCCATTACAGGTGATAGAACCAAGGCACAAAAGGGTTAGGTGACTTACTCAAGATCACAGCTAGGGACTGACAAGGGCTTAATTTCCAGAATATATAAACAGCTCATACAACTTAATAAAAAAAACAAACAACCCAATCCAAAAATTGGCAGAAGACCTAAACAAGCATTTCTCCAATGAAGACATACAAATGGCCAATTGGCACATGAAAAAAATGCTCAATATCAGTATCAGAGA